AAAAGTTGAGGTAGACTTTATATAGCTGATAAAAAAGCCCTTTGTAAAGACTGGCCTGGCTAGGCTGTCTAGCTGTGGGGAAAGGGAAAAAAAGACTAGACTGGTACCTTGTCTACTTGGTTCCCTTACAAGGTACCTGACCTTGTGGTAAGTAAAAAAAGAAGCCACTTTCTGACATGCCCAGGACCCTCAGGATATTTGGGGAACCTCAAGAAGAGAGGAATTCACTCATTCATTCATTCAGTGAATTCACTCTTGATTTGTATAGGTATTACAGGCACAGTCTGATGGTGAATCCTGGGTTCGGCTTCCTAACCTTGAGGCTTTTAAAAATCTAATCCAAAATTACTTATGAACATTCTAGCAAAGCCAACATAAAAGAGCCTTTATGGCCACTTGCTATTCTTACTGCATTTCATGAAAATGATCAGGCCAAATGTAATACTAAAACTTATTTTGCAAGTAAATTGGTCCTACTAAGGTTTATCTTCACTAAAATGGGGAACTGGAAAGAAAAAGATTATGTTTCAAAAAAGATTATAGCATACTATTGTTAAATTCCAGCCATGACCATTGTTTTTGAGTTTTTATTATTTTCCTACATTTTGGACTAAATCCTGAATTTTTTCCTGGTTACAAGTCTCCAAATTGATGTTTCCAAATTTTTCTTCCACTTTTCTGACTTGGAATCACTAAAATTAAAACTGCTGGCTGATGCAATGGCCTATGCCTATAATCCCAGCACTTTGGGAGGCTGAGGCAAGAGGATTGCTTGAGGCCAGGAGTTCCAGTCCAGCCTGGGCAATGTAGTAAGACCTCGTCTCTACAAAAAAAAATTTTTTTTTAAAAGTAGCCATGTGTGGTGGCATGCACCTGTAGTCCTAGCTGCTAGTTAGGTTGAGGTGGGAGGATGGCTTTCGCCTAGGAGTTGAGGAATATGTATATATATATAGAGAGAGAGCCTAATTCTAATAAGGGATGCATGAGACAAACCCAACTTATGGACATAACTACAAAATAACTGGCCTATTCTAAAATGTCTGGATTAAGAAATTAAAAGTTGCTATAAAGAACATCATTTGGATAATTGGCAAATTTTAAATTTAAATTTAAATATGGATTGAT